TGGCAGTAAGGTAAGAGTGTCCGTAAGGACTAGCCGACAGGTAACTTTCGATACCCAAAGTCACATTCGCGACAGTTTCGTTGCATATGCAGAGATGAAAATGATGATCCGAGTGGGTACACGTTTGGGTGCAAAGGCTTTGCAATTGTCCCTTGGGTATGGATTTGGTTACCTTGCTGTACCTTATGATGTGAGCTTGCTCTTGTGCTCATATGATGGGTTTGAGGTGTACCGTTTTATACGAGTTTGCGCTTGGGCTCGTGAGTGAGGCACACTAGAAACTCGAGGTTACACTTTGAGTTGGCAGGATTAATGTTAGCCTATTGGTAGTTCCATGAGTTGTTCCATGTACCGTGGGTGAAAGTAAACCTTCCCTGGGTTTGCTATAAGTGGCAAATAGGCTGGTCCGTAGATGTTTAGCACGACACTAGTGGATTCTTCCTAGGCATGATTATAAGTGGATCAATCAAGACTATAGGGATTAGTCTATTGGTTCAAGTAGTCATTGCCGTGCTCTCTCATAAACTTTTCTTGAATTAGACTAAAGGAAGTGCGAAAGCAAGCTTGAGGTTTAGTCAAAGATGAGCCCGAAAAGAGAGTCGTTAAGGACGAAGGATCAAACACGTAAATCATTTTCTCTTCTTTGAGAGATGATTTGTACTTGTAAGACCATCATTTCCAACATGCATCGGGATAGGGACTCTTGATTGCATGATGTGAACACGAGCAATGTGTCACACCTCAAAGTGGTATTGTTATTTTGAGTGATAAGAAATTTTCTTTAGAACTTGATTTTCCATGTTATTTTTCTTGTTAGTATTTTAGCTTCACATTAGATCTTGAAGGTGGTTGAAAAAGAGTGTTAATGCAATGTGGATATCCAAAGATACAAATCTTTCTAATCAAGCCATGAGTTATGGGATAGATAGTGGTGAAACGCTAAACCATTTTGTCTAGGCTCACTATTGGAAGACTTAGGTTTCAATGCTCAATTCTTTTCTGGGGAACCTTGCTATTGTTCCTTGAGTAGCTTGGTGTTGGATTAGTGTTGAGTTTGGTCGGAAAAAGAGTGGCATGAGTTTGTCCGTGTTGTGAACAAAAGTTAGTGATGTTAGGTGTTGTAATATTGGTGGAGTGTGGCATTTATGTTGCATTTTGTCGAATTGAGTTAGCACTTGATATTCATATAAACCTTTGAAGTAATGACATGGGTGTTGCTTGTGCTGTTGCTCAATTGATGATCAATTCATTGTGATACTTATATCATATCCATGTGATAATAAGCAATGTGTTTACGAAGTTGTTTGGGTAAATGATGATCAACCCCAAAGTGGTTGATAGTGAAGCTAGTCTACTTGCACGAAGTAACATTGTAGTAGCTTTGACTGGATTCTCAATGGTGGTCCATTATACTAAGCTTAAGTTGGTATTTTGTTCCTTGGGTTTGCCCATAAGGTGTTGGAAAAGAGTTGTAGCATTCATTTGCTATAGTTCATCGGCTGATCTGTTAGCACTTGGAGTAAATTGTTGGATGGAGAAGGTGTGTAGTTGAGGCATTAACATTGCTAGCACTTGTGTTAGTGGAAGTGGCATTGTTATTTCAAGTGATAAGGATTTTCCTTAGAGTTTGATTTTCCATGTCATTTTTTTTGTTAGTGTTTTGGCTTCACATTAAATCTTGAAAGTGGTTGAAGAAGAGTGTTAGTGCAACGTGAATATCCGAAGATATGGTCTTCGTGATCAAGCCTTAGATGTTCACTTTGCACTTTGCGGATGTCAATGTTGGATGTCGGAAGTATGGGCAAAGATGTTTGATGCTTTAGCATACTATGGGTCATGAGAATTGGTGTTGAGGTGAACCTATGTGAAGTTGTTAGTAGGAGGAAGTTGGTTGAGTCTTGAAAGTTTGCATTCCTAGACTAAG